TCTGCATATAAACATTTTCCTAGCTACCATCAATTCTGAGGAAAGGTGACCCGACAAGAAATGTTAACTCTGACTTTTTTTTTCTTCAGATGCTGCCAGACCGGCTGAGCTTATTCAGCAAGTTCTGGTTTTGTTCCAACATTACCTCCTTGATCTTGTACTCTACGCCACGACTGATGAAAACAAGTGTCCCAAATGCCCGAACTATCTTAATCATGTCTCTGTCGAGTTCAGCGATCTGTGAATAATTACCCCAAGATCCCTGTGTTCCTTTAAGCCAAGCAGTGTCCTGCCATTCATTTAAATGTTCCCTCATCTTGTTTCTTCATCCAAAGTGCAATACCTCACACTATTCAGGGTGAAATACCATCTGCTGCTGGTCTGCCCATCTGACCAACCCATCAAATCTTCCTGTAACCTGCACTGACCTTCTTCATTATTAATCACTCTGCTAATCTGCAGATTTGCTTAATATTCCCCCACATTTTAGTCTATATCATTTATGTATATAACAAAGTACTGATCCTTGTGGTGTACCATTGGACACTGGCCTCCAGTCACTCGAACAGCCTTCTACCACTAACCTTTATATCCTAGTACTAAGCCAGTTTCTGAACCATCTCACCAAGTTTCACTTAATTTCATGTGCTTGAACTTTCTTAATCTGTATCCCATGTGGGACCTTGTCAAAAACTTTACTAAAATCCATATAAACTGCATCAACTGAACTTCCCTCATTCACAGACATGATCACATTTACAAAAAAATTCCAAAAAGTTTGACAAAGGCATTCTGACTATCCTTAATTAACCCATGCCTTTCCGAGTGACTATTATTTCAGTCCTTCAGAATTTACTCTACCTCCAACTGATGTAAGACTTACTGGTTTGTAATTTCCTGGTTATCTCTACCACCCTTTTTGAAAAGTGAAACCACATCGGCCATCTGGCATGTTACCCCCCACCCCGCCCTGGTCAGAGAGGAATTAAAAATTTATGCCAGAGCTCCTGAAATTTCCTGCCTTGGCTCCCACAGCAGAATGTGATGCAGTTCATCTGGGCCAGGGAATTTGTCCATTTTTAAGCCCGACAGAGCCTCAGGTGCCTCCCATTTCCTATGTCAAACTGTGCAAGTTCTCACAGTCCCTTTTCCTGAATTCCATACCTACGTTCTCCTTTTCCAGAGTGAAGACTGAAGAGAAATATTAATTTAATATCCTTCTAATATCCTGCGGCTTCACACACAGGTTGCCCCCTTGCCCCTAATGGGTTCTACCCTTTCCCTGGTTAATCTTTTCTCTTTAATGTATCTATAAAATATCTTGGGATTCTCCCTAATCCTGTTCATAAGTCCTTTTCCATGCCCCCTTTTTGCTCTTCTAATTGCTTTCTTAAATTCCCTGCAGTTCCTCTATTCCTCTAGGGCCGCAGCTGAATTGCTCCCTTTGAACTTGCTAAATGCCTTTCTCTTCCTCCTCATCCAGCTGTGAATTGTCCTAGACATCTAGCTTCTCTGAACTTTTCTCTCTAAAGGGTACATGTTGGAACTGTACTGTTCCCAGTTCCTTTCTGAATCCCCCCCCACTGCTCTGCTGTAGAATTATCTGCAAGGAGCTGTTCCTAATCAACTGCGGTCAGATCCTGCTTTACTTTAAGAAAATCTGCCTTACCTCAATCCAAAGCCATCTTTTGAAGGCCAAATTTTTTTCCTTGTTTGGAACAGATTTGAACTGTATCATGCTGTGGTCACTATTGCCAAAATGTTCCCTCACTGCCACATCAAACACTTGTTTGGCTTCTTCCCTCAGGATCAGATCCAGCACTGTGCCGTCCCTGTTGGACCTTCTATATGTTGATATAAAAAAACTCCCCTGGATACATTTCAAGAAATCTGTCCCTCTCAACCCTTAACACTATGACTAGCCCAATTTATGTTGGGAAAGTTGAAATTCCCTGGTATAATTACCTTATTATTACTTTTACACACCTCTGTGAGCTGTTTACATATTTGCTCATCAATTTTCCACTGACTCTTTGGGGGCCTATAATACTCTCCTAGTAGAGTGGCTGCCCCCTTAACATTCCTAAGTTTTACCATCAAAGCCTCATTCGAGGACCTTTGCTAGATATCGTCTCTTTATTGCTGTAATTGGCTCCTTAATTAATAGTGCTACACCATAAAAGTATACACTTCTATAAGATCCCCTCACAATCTCCAACACGCTAAAGAAAAAAGTCATAGCTTGTCTAACTTCTCCCTATAACTCAGTCCCTTGAGTCTGGGCAATGTCCTTGTAAATTTCTTCTGCACTCTTTCCAGTTTAATAACATCCTTCCCATAGCAAGGTGACCAAAACTGAACACACCACTCGAAATGCGGCTTTACCAACGTCCTGTACAAGTGCAACATAATTTCCCAATTTCTGTTCTCCGTGCCCTGACTGATGAAGGCCAGTGTGCCAAAAGCATTCTTCATTGCCCTGTCTACCTGTGACTCCACTTTCAGAGAACCATGCACCTGAACGCCAAGGTCCCTCTGTTCTACTACACTCCTGAAGGCCCTACCATTCACAATGAAACTCCTACCTTGATTTTACTTTCCAAAATGCAACACCTCACACGTATCTATATTAAACTCCATTTGCCATTTCTCAGCCCACTTCCCCAGCTGATCAAGATCCTGCTGCAATTTCTGATGCCCAACCTCACTGTCCATGATACCACCTATTTTATTGACATCCGCAAACTTACTGAATCATGCCTTGTACACTCTCATCCAAATCATTGATTTAATAACAAACAGCAATGGGCCCAGCGCCGACGCTTAAGGCACACCGTTAGTCACAGGTCTTCAGTCTGACAAGTATCCTTCCACAATTACGCTCTGCTTCCTACCATCAAACCAATTGTGTATCCAATTTGCCAACTCTCCCTAGATTCCATGTGATCTAACTTTCCAGAGCAGCCTAATACGTGGGACCTTATCAAAGGCCTTACTGAAATCCATATAGACTACCTCTACAGCCCTGCCCTGACCAACCTTCCGGGTCACTTCATCAAAGAACAGTAACAAATTTGTGAGGCATGATCTCCCACGCATGAAGCCATGCTGACGACTCTTAATCAAACCTTGTCTTTCTAAATGCATGTATATCTTATCTCAGAATCTACTCAAGTAACTTACCTATCATAGATGTTAAGCTTGCTGGTCTATAATTTCCAGGTTGTTTTCTCGCAGCCCTTCTTGAATAAGGGCACAACATTCACTACTCTCCAGTCATCTGGGATCTCACGCTTGGCTAACGATGATGCAAACATATCAGCCAGAACCCTTGCAATTTCTTCTCGAGTCACTTGCAGGGTTCTTGGATCCTGATCAGGACCAGGAGATTTATTCACCTTCATACCTTCTAATACTTCCAACACCTGTACTGTGACATGGCTAACCCCAAGATATTGCCACTAACATCCCCAAGTTCCCAAGTCTTCATGTCTTTCTCTTCGGTAAACACAGAGGAGAAATATTCATTGAGGACCTCGCCCATCTCCTGCGGTTCCAACATACATGTCCACTTTGGCCCTTGAGGGGTCCTATTCTCTCTCTAGTTATTCTTTTTCCTTTAATATATATAGGAATCTCATCAGATTCACCCCAATCTTCTCAGCCAAAGTATCTCATGGCTCCTTTTTGCCCTCCTCATTTCCTTCTTCTGTAAACCCCTGTATCCCATGTATACCTCCAGGGATTCCCTTGATCCCAGCTGCCTGTACCTGGGCCATGCCTCCTTTTTCCTGGTCAAAGCCTTAATATCTCTTGTCATCCAGGGTTCCCAACCTCGCCCTTCATTTTCACGGGAACATATTAGACCTTGAACTCTAGCTATCGCACTTTAAAAGGCCTCCCACTTGCCAGAGGTCCCTTTGCCTGCAAACAAACTACCCCAATCAACACCTGCAAGCTCCTGTCTAATTCCATCACAATTCACCTTGCCCCAATTTAGAACTTGAATCTGTGGACCAGTTTTGTCCTTTCCACAACTATTTTAAAATTAATAGAACTAAGGTCACTGGTCCCAAAGTGCTCTCCCACTGTCACCTCAGTCACCTGTCCTGCCCAATTTCCCAAAAGTAGGTTGGATTTCGCCCCATCTCGAGTAGGACCCTCAGTATACCTGCTTGAGGAACCTTTCCAGAACATATTTAACAAATTCCACCCCATCTAAGCCCTTAACACTATGGCAGTCCCAAGTCTATGTTATGAAAATTAAAATCCCCCTCTATGACAACCCTATTACTCCTACAAATCTCCACAATCTCCCTGCATATTTGCTCCTCTAATTCCCATTGACTATTTGGGGGCCTATAGTACAACCCCAATAACGTCACCATCCCCTTCTTATTTCTTAGCTCCACCCACAAAGCCTCACTGGATGATCCCTCAGTTATTTCATCTCTGACTACTGCTATGATACTCCCCTTAATCAAAGATGCAATTCCTCTTCCCCTCTTTCCTCCATCTCTACCCTGCCTAAAGCACCTGTACCCTGGCAAATTAAGCTGCCAGTCCTGTGCCTCCCTTAGCCATGTTTCTATAATGGCTGTAATAACCCAGCTCCACGTACCTATCCACACCCTGAGTTCATCAGCCTTACCTGTCAGCCCTCTTGCATTGAAATGGATGCAGTTTAATCCAAAAGGCATTCCTCGCTCCCTGACCTATCTCTTCAACTTGCTATTTTTGATTACTGTATCTCCTTCCAGCCTCACACTTGCCTCCCTTCTGTTAAGGATCCCATCCCCCGCCAATCTATTTTAATTCCTCCATTCCAGCACTAGCAAATCTGATGATTGAATGTGGCAGAGGATTTTAGTATTAAATGTAAGTACTAAATGATAATTTAGGAATCAGTGATAATTTCAGAATGAGTGATAATGTAATACTGAATAGCAACGTAGTAATGAATAGAAATATAGTAATGAATGCTATGATTGGTTTTCCAGAGAGGTGTTGAACTGCATTTAGTCCCGTGGAATTATGACTTTACCAACATGGCGTATGATGGACTCTTCCTATCCAATGGCCCAGGAGATCCCACTCTGGCAAAGCAACTGATTGCCAATGTCCATAAGGTGTGAGCATCCAGTGGAACCTGTTATCTTGCTCTGCGTAACTGTCAGTGAAATGATTTCTGTTTTACTGACAGGCCCAGTGTTGATTGTGCATGCTGCTGGACGTGCGTTTGAGTGAAGCAGGCTGTCCTTGCCCTGTCACTGACGGCTTGTTCTTTTTATGTCATGTTTTAGGTGATTCAAAGCAATCGCCCAGAACCAGTGTTTGGGATCTGTATGGGCAATCAGCTGACTGCATTAGCTGCCGGTGCCAACTGCTACAAACTGCCAATGGGAAACAGGTACCAGAAACTTTGGAGCTGAGATCTGTACACACCGCAGTCTGTTATTCTCCTTTTCACAGCTGACTGTCTCTGGTCAGGTGTGAGCTGGTATTGGAGAGAGTGTGGTGGGCAAGAAGTGAGAGTGGGGTGTAACTGGAGGAGAATGAGTGGGGTGTGCTGGGAGTGAGGGGTTGGGCCTTGGGAGTTTAAGGGCTGCCCGGGACTGAGGGAAGTGAGGGCCATGGGAGTTAGGGTGGCAAGCACTGGGAATATGGGAGGGTCCCTGGGAGTGAGCTGAAGGGCCTGGGAGTGAGGGAGTGCGGGTGTGTGAGTGAAGGGGGAGGCCTTGGAGTGAGTTTGGTTGTTTGGTCCTGGGAGTGATCTGGGGGGGGAAGTATCCCAGGAGTGAGTGGTGCGGAGGGTTCTGGGAATGAGGAGGAGGGGATGCCTGGGATTGATTTGAGAGAGGATGGTGGAGGGGGGTGCCTGGGAATGAGGTGGGGGAGACCTAGGAGTCAGGGATGCCCTGGGAGTGAGGTCCCGAAAGCAGAGTCACTGAGTTCGACAGCACGGAAACAGATCCTTTTGTCCAACTTGTTTATGCTGGACAGATATTCTAAATTAATCTAGTCTCATTTAACATCATTTGGCCCATGCCCCTCTAAACCCTTCTAATTCATGCCTTTCTATCCAGATGCCTTTTAAATATTCTAATTGTACCCACCTCTCCACTTCCTCTAGCAGCTCATTTCATATGTGCACCACCCTCTACATGAAAAAGTTGCCCATTAGGTCCATTTTTAAATTTATTCCCTCTCACCTTAAATCTATACCCTCTAGTTTTGGTCTCCCCTACCCTGGGAAGAAGACCTTGGCTATTCACCATATCTATGCCCCTTATGATTTTGTAAACCTCTATATGGTCACCCCTCAGCCTCTGATGCTCCAGGGAGAGAAGCCCCAGTCTATTCAGCCTCTCCCTGTAGTTCAAATCCTCCAGTACTGACAGTATCATTGTAAATCTTTTCTGAACCCTTTCAAGGTTACCAATATAGAGTCATGCAGCACAGAAACAGACAATTCAGTCCAATCAATCCATGCTGAACATAGTCCCAAACTAAACTAGTCTCACCAGTCTACTCCTGGCCCATATCTCTCCAAATCTTTCCTATTCAGGTACTTATTCAAATGTCTTTTAAATGTTGTAATAGTACCCACATCCACCACTTCCTTAGGAAGTTCATTCCACATGTGAACCTCCCACTGTTTAAAAAATTTGCCCTTCATGTCTTTTTTAAATCTCTCTCCACTTGCCTTGAAAATGTGTCGCCTAGTCTTGAAATCCCTCATCCTAGGGAAAAGAGAACTACCATTAACCTTATCTATACCCCTCATGATTTCATAAACTTCTATCATATCGCCTCTCAATCTCATATGCTCCAGTGGAAAATGTCCCAGCCTTTCTTTATAACTCAAACCTTCTATACCCAACAACATCCTGGTAAATCTTTTCTGAACCTACTCCAGCTTGATAATATCCTTCCTGTAACTAGTCAACCAGATTCCAGTAGAGGCCTCACCAATATCCTGTACAGCCTTAGCATGATTTCCCAACTCCTGTACTGAAAGGACTGAGCAATGAAGGCAAGCGTGCTGAATGCTTTTTTAACCACCCTTTCTATATGTGACACAAGCTTCAAAGAATTATGAACCTGAATGCCTATGTTCCTCTGTTCTACAACACTACCCAAGGCCCTATCATTAATTGCATAAGCCCTACTGTCGTTTATCGTACCAAAATGCAATACCTAGTATTTATCCAGATTAAACTCCACTAACCATTTTTCAAATTGACCCATTTGATTAAGATCCCTTTATGATCTTTGAAAACCTTCTTCACTGTCTACCAATTTTGGTTGTTCATAGTTCATAGAATCCCTACAGTGTGGAAACAGGCCCTTTGGCTCAACAAGTCCACACCGACCCTCAAAGCATCCCACCCAGACCCATCCACCTATAACCCACACATCCCTGAACACTGTGGGAAATGTAGCATGGCCAATCCACCTAGCCTGCACATCTTTGGACTGTGGGAGGAAACCGGAGCACCTGGAGGAAACCCACGTAGACACAGGGAGAATGTGCAAACTCCACACAGACAGTCGCCCGAGGGTGGAGTTGAACCCAGGACCCTGGCGCTGCGAGACAACAGTACTAGCCATTGTGCCACCTCCAGTCTGCAGACTTACTAACCATGCCTACTATATTCTCATCCAAATCATTTATACAAATGACAATCTGAAAAGGACCCAGAACTTTTTTCTGAAGAAGGGTCTAGGCCCGAAACGTCAGCTTTCCTGCTCCTCTGATGCTGCTTGGCCTGCTGTGTTCATCTAGCTCTACACCTCGTTATCTCAGATCCTCCAGCATCTGCAGTTCCTACTATCTCTCCCCCCAGGACCCAGAACTGATTCCTGTGGAACCCCACTGGTGATAGGCCTCCAATCTGAAAAACAATGCTCCATCACCACACTGTCTCCTGCTGTTAAGCCAATTATGTATCCAATTAGCAATCTCACCCTGAATCCCATGTGACCAGATACATTAGGGACATTTAAGCGACTCTTGGATAGGCACATGAATGGTAGTAAAATGTGGGGTACGCAGTGTAGTTTGAACTTAGAGTAGGATAATAGGTCGGCACAACTTCGTGGGCTGAAGGGCCTGTGCTGTGCTGTTCTGTTCTATGTTCTATGTGACCTAACTTTACTATTTAGCCTACCATGCGGAAACTTGTCGAAGGCTTTGCTAAAGTCCATGTAAACGATGTCTACTGCTCTGCCTTCATCAGACTTTTTGGTAACTTCTTCAAAAAACTCGATCAAGTTTGTGAGACATGACTTTCCTCGCACAAAACCATGCTGACTATCCCTAATCAATATTTGCCTCTCTAATATCCATAAATCCTGCCTTTTATAATTACCTCCAACAATTTACCCACAGCCAAAGCCAAAATCACAGGTCTATAGTTCCCTGGTTTCTCCTTGTACCTTTTTTTAAGCAAGGTTATAACGTTTATCTTTCCTATTGCAGGGACACTAGAATTGGACACAGTATTCTAAAAGTGGCCCTGCCAATGTCCTGCACAGTCCCAACATGACATCTTAACTCCTATGCACAGTACACTGACCAATGAAGACAAGCGTGCCAAACACTGCTTTCACCACTCTGTCTACTTGTGACTCCACTTTCTAGGAACTATGCATCTGTTCCCCTCATATCCCTTTGCTTGGCAACACTCCCCAGGGCTGTATCATTAATCGTATAAGTCCTGCTCTGATTTACCTTACCAAAATGCGAAACCTCACAATTATCTAAATTAAACTCCAACTGTCAATTCTTGGCCAATATGCCCATCTGATCAAGGTCCTGTTGTACTCTCACATAACCTTCTTCACTGTCCAGTACACCATGTATTTTGGTATCATCTGCAAACTAACTAACCATACCTCCTATATTCATATCCAATCACTTATAAAAATGATGAAAAGAAGTAGACCCAACACTGATCCTTGTGGTACTCCGCTGGTCACAGGCCACCAGACTGAAAAACAATCCTCCACCACCATCGTCTGTCTCTTGACTGCAAAACAATTTGGTATCCAATTGGCTAGCTGTCCCTAGATTCCATGTGATCCAACCTTGCCAAGCAGTCTACCATGCAAACCTTGTCAAACACTTTGCTGAAGACCATATAGACAACATCTACTGCTCTACCTTCATAAATCTTCTTTGTCACTTCTTCAAAAAACTCAGTCAACCTGGTGAGACATGATTTCCCACAGACGAAGACATGTTGACTCTTGTTAGTAATGACGAGCATTTCCCATGTTGCTGGATGAACAGCCTTTCCTACCGTGGCAACTTATGAATTTAGTGCAACCATCCAGAATATGACTCTGCGAGCTTCTGAAAGTTTAGTTCCCCCCAGAATGCTTCTGTCCTGTTTGTCAGGGAACGAGGCTTCCACCCTACCCTTGCCTGATCTCCTTGAGCCCAGTGCTACAACACGTTACCCTTACTATGACTCGCTCTGGTCCATTTGAAAAGACTGTCTTAGTCATTACTCTTGCCACCAGTTAGGCTTCAGATCCCTACCCTTCTAGGGTCAATCCAAGTCACAAATCACTACATCCTTCCAAGTGGACTCACTGTCCTTGGAATCATACTGGGGGTTTGGGTGACTGGGGGTAGATGTGGCCTACCCCTGAATGGTGGCAATGTCATAATGCCTGAGTCACCTGCATATTAGGTACGGGGCCCTGGGTGGATCATGGATCATGTAGCCCAATCCTCGACAATTGGGAGATTGTTTGGAGGGCAAAATAAACTGCTGTACACTCCTCAGGAGGAAAATTATTCTTCATTCACAGGATGTTAAACACTGGCTAGGCTGGCACATATTGCCCATTCTCAGTTAACCAGAGGGCAGTTAACAGTAACCACATTGCTGTGGGCCTGGAGTCTTATATAGGCCAGACCAGGTATGGACAGCAGATTTGAATTGCAAATTGTTGACCTGTTTTTCAAATGCCTGTGATTTATCAAGGACTGACTGAACTTGTTAGGTGCTCTATTTTTCTGTTTAATGTTGTTGGACCACAGCCAATGAGGAAATGGGCTGTAATTGCCTACAATTATTTCTCACAGAGTATCCAGTCAAATGTCAACACTTGTCACTTAATATTCTTGGCACATTGCAGGGATGTGCAATTATTTGTGTCTTGGTGTTAACTTTTCTGTTCTAGCTGATGTCAAAGCTACACTCCTTGTGCATGAAACTGGAGCACAATACAGAGGTCGTTGCTGCACTTCTAACTGGACCACCTCATGGGCGAAAGGGGAGAAGGCTGTTGATTAATAACAAGGCAGCTCGCAAAAAGTACTGTTGGTGGGAAGATTTGCTCCTAGGCATTTGTTAGAATGCTTGTTTACCAACTGCAATTTCTCTCACTCAGGGGACAGAACCAGCCAGTGATGAATGTAATGAACGGCCAGGCATTCATCACTGCCCAGAATCATGGATACGCCATCGACAGTTCCACTCTCCCTGAGGGTTGGAGGGCCATGTTTGTCAATGCTAACGATGGTACCAATGAGGTAAGCAGTGAGGAGGATGGGATAATCTTGTCTGAGCGCTATGTGCTGTCGGTGGGAATGGCACCTCCTTTCTTTCAGGAAGGCACAAGCCTCCGAGGCTGAGCATTTGCCACAAAGCTTTGACCAATGAGGAGCTGAACCAATCAATCCTGATTCCAAGCGTTGATTGGTTAGTCTATTTCTGTGGAGGTAAGGGATTGGTCAGGCTGTCTCTGTGGGGAGTGGTGAATTTGTCGGTTTGTCTCTGTAGTGAGTGATAATTGGTTAGACTGTTTCTGTGGTGAGTGGCGGTCTATTTGGTGAGTGTGACACAGGTGGACCCTTCTTGTTTGGTCGACTGTGTCCTGATCCTGTTTAGCATCTTTATCTCTCCCGTAACAAGTGTAGCTTCAATGAAAGCTTCATTGTGATGCCTTCTATAGCCAATAAGCATGTTAAAGCTCATCATCTAATGCCCAGCTGGATGGAAGATCAGTGTTCACTTTTGCTGCTTACACTCCTCCTGTGGGCAGTCCATGTCACAGGAAACATTCAGTGGCCAAAATAACAATAAGTGGTGAGAAAGCTGGAGGTGCAAGCGGAAACAAAATGTAGGTTTGCTGGGTGTGCGAAGATCACATTCAAACAGCTGAATTGATGGGATGGAGTGTTTGATCTGTTTGGGACAGTGTATTAACAAAGGACAGCAATATATTGTTGGAATGTTACTGGGTGTGCAATTCAGAGGCCTGGGCTCACACTACAGGCACAGGAGTTCATATCCCTACTTGACACCTGGAGGGATTTCAATTCAAAAAACAAATCTGGTAGAAAATGGTAATCTCATTAACACTGACCATAAAACTACCATCCTGTTCTAAAAATCCATCTGGTTCACTAATGTTCTTTAGGGAAGGAAATCTTCTGTCCTTTCCCGGTTTGGTCTACTTGTGACTCCAAACCCACAGCAATGTGGCTGACTCTTAACTACCCGCTAAAATGGCTGCGGAAGTCACACAATTCAAGGGGCAATTGGGCATGGGCCACAAAAGCTGGCCTTGCCAATGACTCCCACATCCTATAAAAGTATTTTAAAAAGTTAAAAGGAATTGTTTTTCAACCTGGATGTTGAAGTCTTTCTGTTGTTCCTTTTCATTCAACCAGCTATGATCGTATTGAATGGTGGACCAGAATAACCTACTTCTGCTCCTCTTATTCTGAAATGAAATTGTTCTATCATTTCCAGAACAGAATGTAAAAGCATAAAATGCGGGTGGAGTATTTAACCCATGCATTAAAGGATAAGTACATTTATTTTAGTGGCCGGACAAAAGTACCATTGCAGAACATTGAATAAATTCATTACAACTTCTACCATTGTCATATGGTGCATACTTGATCATATTGTTGCAAACCGACAACAGATCCTGCCTGCCTGTGTTGCACACTCCAGACCAACCTTTGGGTGTTGGCTTGCCTCTTCATGAGATCAATTTCTGATCCAACACAAAAGTTTTAGAAAAACAGCTGTGGGCCTCACAGCTAATGAGAGTCTATTTGAAATCCCCAGGCTAAAAACAAACCACACAGGCGTCTGCAAAACCCTTCAGTTTAGCAGAAAACAGTCCCTTTCTGCTTCATCTTTTTTCTTGTGTTTGCACAGAAACCTGTTCTTGTAAAGAATTTTTTTGGTGACAGAAAAAAAGGGTTAGAGATTTGGAATTTTAATTTTATTCTTTGGTTTTATTCTTTGAGATGTGGGTGTTGTTGACGAGACCACCCCTAATTGCTCAAAGGGGCAGTTAAGAATCAGCCAAATTGCTGTGGATCTGGAGTCACATATAGGCCAGACCAGGTAAGGATAGCAGATTTCTTTCCCTGAGGGACAATAATGAACCAGATGGAGTTTTACAACAATTGATAGATGTTACATAAATAGAAGCAACACTGGAAATCTGAAATAAACAGAGTTCTGAGAACCTTAGCAGATCTGGCAGCATTTGTGGAGAGAGAAACGGTTAACATTTTGAGTCCAGTGACTCCTCTTCATAACTGGTTCCATAGTCCCATTAGACTAATCTTTTATTCAAGGTTTTGCTGAATATAGATTTCACCATCTCCTATGGTGGGATTTGAAACCATGTACCCAGAACATTGGTCTGAGGGTCTGGATTACAGCTCCATTGACATTACCAATACACTACCTTCCCACAAAGGGGAAAAATGCTAGAAATGGAGATTGACAAACTGGATTAATAAATGGGCATAATTTCAGTTTTAACTTCGAAGTTACATTTTCACAGGAAATCCCTTGGTCAGGTAAACCCAAAATTAGTTTTAAAATGTTTTGTAGAGCCATAGAGTCATACAGTGCAGAAAAGGCCTTTCGGCCCATCGTGTCAGCACTGACATAACACTTAAAACACGCTAATCCCAATTTCCTGCACTTGTCCCATATTCTTGAATGTTATGATATTTGAAGTGTTTATCCAAATATTTTTTAAAGGTTGTAAGGTTTCTGGTAAGGTTTTTGCAGACAGTGCATTCCAAATTCCCAATACCCTCTGAATGAAAAAGTTTTGTTTTTCCAAATTCCCTGTGAATCTTCTGCCCCATACCTTAATGTTTGCCCCCTTGTGATTGACCCCTCAACTAAGGGGAACAGCTGCTCTCTATTCACCCTGTAAATACTCTTATGGGCCAGACTGGGGTGGGGGCTGTGACACCTCCCCACTCCCCCACTTAAAACAAAGAACTATCAAATATATAAAGATGGCTTCATTTCTAAAACAGCTTTAGTCTTGTGCTATTCAATACATTACATTGACTCTAAGAATGCAAACATTCACTACTACAGTCCATTTTAGTCCGTTTTCTCCCTCCACAAACACCTTTTGTCTTCCTTCATCAGTTGCGACAATGCATCGGCAATTACGTTCTCTCGTCCTGCCGCGTGAATACTTCTCAAATTGAATGGTGCAATAATAAGCTCCATCTAAACAGTTTGGAATTGATGTTCTTAAATTTCTCCAAAAACTTTAATGGGTTACTATCAGTATATACAATTGTCTTAGACACATTGCTGGTAATATAAACGTTGAAATATTGCAAAGCCTGCACCAAACTCAAGGTCTTCTTCTCAATCGTGGAATATTTCTGTTGATGATTATTCAATTTTCTGAAAATATACCTAATAAGCCTTTCTATCTTCTCATCATCTTCTTGCAAGAGTACAACACCAACACCCACATCACATGCATCGAGAGCCATCTTGAAAAGCTTTGGCTAATTAGATGTGGTTAACATTGAGGCAGTGGTCAACACAACTTTCAGGCTGTCAAATGCCCTTTGGCATTCTTCCAACCACTGACTTATTGAAAAAGTGCAGAAAATTTCAGTCAGCGAAGCAACCATGCTACTAAAATTCAGTATGAATTTTCGATAAAACTCACACATTCCCAGGAATCTTAATACTCCCCTCTTCATCGATGGTATGAGAAACACCCCAAAACCTTGTCTTCACATCCCGAGGGGTTGTCTTTCCATATCTAACGGTACAGGAACATAGCTTGGGCTTTTGTGAACTCACTCTTAGCCACTCTTATTACCAAGCCTGCCTCCTGAAGTTGATCAAATAATTCTGGTAGATGCTCCAAGTGTTCCTTCCGCGCGTGACTAAAAATCACCAGGTTGTCAATGTACACCACACAGTTGGGTAATCCACAAATGACTTTATTGGTTAGTCTTTGAAATGTGGCTGGCACATTTTTCCTAGCAAGTGGCATGACTTTAAACTGATACAGTCCACTTGATGTCACAAAAGCCAAAAGTTTCTTTGCTCTTTCAGATAAAGGTACCTGCCAGCATCCTCTGAGTAGGTCCATCTTGGAAATATAAGTTGCTTGTCCCACCTTATAAATACAGTCTTCCAAACGTGGAATAGGCTATGAATCAGACTTTGTAACTGCAGTAGTCCGCATATAATTGTTAAGAACCATCTGATTTTGGCACCATTACTATGGGTGAGCTTCATTTGCTGCAACTCACTTAGATTATATTGTCCTTGACCGTGTGTTCAATCTCTTTCTGAAACTGTGCGAACTTGAGGGTTAAATCTAAAAGGATGTTGCTTAATTGAAGCAGCATAATTAGATTAGTATTTCCCAGCTTATTCCCACATATCTCCTCATGGGATTGTAATATCTTTTTCAGGTCTTTTTGATTTTCCTCTGGAAGGTAACTCAGTAATTTATCCCAGTTTTGAGAACGTCCTCATTGTCCAATTTAATTTGAGGAATGTCCAATTTGGAATTATCTGAACTTAATTTTTCACTGTGTTGTAACCAGTAACACATTCTCCTTTTGATTTCCTTCCCTATCAAAATACCTTTTTGAGCGTATTCACATTCAATTCATGTTTTGTGAGCTATCTTTCTATCTGGCATTCTTATTAAATAGTTCATCTCTCTCAATTTCCTTTCAATTTGATAAGGCCTATTAAACCCTACTGGAAGCAACTACAGTGGCTTGCCAGCCTGGATCTTGAAGAACATTTTAGCCATTTGGCTGGGTGGTGTTCCCCAAGCACAGTAGGACAGTTGAGGGTGTCCATTTCCATTGAGATGCCTGTAGCTCAAATGCTCCATTTGTTGCATTTTCTAATGACAAAGCCAGTTGTAGTGCCTATTTGAAGACTAGTTGGGCTTCAGCAAGTGAGTGCTTTTGAATGGTTACATCATCAATCCCACATTCCAAACGGTCTCTCAGCAAATCATTCAGAGTTAACCCAAAATCACATGCCTCTGCCAGTCATCTTAACCTCCCCAAAAACCCTGAAACGGATTCCCCTAGTTCTCGACCAGGCAAATAAAACCAATAGCGTCTCAGAATTAGAGGCAGCTTGGGGTTGTAATATTCCTTAACTAAATGCATCAACTCTTAAAATGTTTTAGTATCTGGTGCCTCAGGGAAAGTTAGGCTTCTAATAACCAAACATGCTGTGGGTCCACAAGTTGTCAGAA